GGATGAAAAACAAAAATCCAAAACCACAGCCTCGATCCTGCCAGCTACTTGCACATGGAGCAACTTGCAAGATTGGGTCCATTTAAATAACGAGGGGGCAGCTTAAGCTAATTTTTGCACCTTTTAAAGTCTCCTCCCTCGCCCAATGCGGACAGTCAAGTATAATCGACTGTGCAAACTGCTACATCAAATGTATTTAAACTAATTAGATAAAAGCTTTTAAAAAACATTAACAGAGCCAAATATGCTCAAATAAAAGGTTCATCTTTCAGTTTCTATTTGCCCAAACTCAAACAAGCAGAAGGGGGGGTCAAGTGGGAGCCAACCAAAACCCCCAGACAGAGAGAAACCAGCGTAGGAAAGGAGAGTCTGGCCATAAGCCGCCACCAGTCAGAGAGGCATGCGTCCAACTGTGAGAGCCACAAACACTCCTCATGGACTTCTCCCTGCCCCCAGCAACTGACCCCCAGAGGACAAGCTCACCTGCAGGCAATGTCAAGGTTGCAGTCCTTATCAATGTAACACGGACTTTTTCCACCCAGTTCAAGCGTGACAGGGGTGAGGTGCTTGGCAGCAGCTTCCATGACAATTTTGCCCACTTGGGAACTCCCGGTATAGAAGATGTGATCAAACCTCTCCTTTAGCAGCTCAGTTGTCTCCGTGACCCCTCCATTAATAACTGGGTACAGGTCCTTCAAATGCAGGCAGAAAGAGCAAGATGTTTGTGTAACTGACTTGACTTTGGTGCAATAAAGGTCAAGAGATTTGTAACACTAGATCATTACTTTGCTGTCACTGCATGACAAGGTCACTGCAAATGCAGAGCCACCATCCCATTTGGACTGTTTGCCTAGAAATCTCAACACTGCAAAATGTCTCCCACGCCTGATGTGAGCTGTTCACTCCAGATCCAGAGTCTGACTCCTGGCAAAGCACCAATTGCTTTACCAAAGCTGCAGCCACTTGGGGGACAAGTGCTGCCAGTCCCAGGTTACAGAAGCCAAGATGAAACCAAAGCCAACAGCGGCAGTTTTTGGTGCAGAAATGGCATTTGTTCTTAGCTCTTGGACATTTTTACTGATCATCGGAATAAGCACCACAACAATCCAGCAGGATGGGAAGTCTGGTTTACTTTCATGGCTCCATTATCTTTAGAGAACTGTCTGAAGAGGCAGGATTGCAGCATCGCCGGAAATACCTGCAGCTGTGTCTCCTGGGCCATCTGGCTGTGCTCATTAAAGAGTGCTGACGTGCTAATGCTGCCTGTGGGGAAGAATTAAGCCTCTGCTGCTGATAAACCCCACTACCCAGAGTTCCTTTAGCAAGGCATGGACTAGACTAAAGCGTTTACTGCCTGCCATTCCAGCTGAAGGAGCCTGTTCTCTTCTAGCCAGGAACTCCCATCCCATCCCATCCCCATTCTTCAAAATGGCAGACACCTGGAGTCAAACATGGGGGTACTAGCAGGCACTAGTGCTTCACAAACACCACCACCGGCAGGTAGGAAACCTCATGCTGCAGGGCTTAAGCGAATCTCTAACTATTCGAGACCAGAACGAGACCTCACGTAGGGGGAAGATTAGCACATATCTGCCTCAGGCAGGGTTCTTGCATCTCCTGAAGCATCTGGCGCTGGCCACTGTCAGTCAGGATACAGAGCTCAGTGGACCTTGGGTCAGATCCAACATGGCTAGTCCCATGTTCCTAAGAAGGGGAAGCCTGAACTGTCTGAAAGAAAGGACCTATGATGAAATGCTCCGTGGCAGCAGTCAGGAAGAATTGCAACATGTTCCCCTTGCAAAAGGCATAGAAAACGCTGGCTTGGTTTAACATTGTGGGAAGGAGGAATTCCCTTTTGGCAAATCACCTGCTAGCCCTGCACAGAGGAGTTGGGAAATGAAAGTCTCCAACATGTCTGGCATTCAAGCCACCTCTTGACTCCCCCCCTACCCCTAATACAGAAACACCCCTCACTTATCCCATTGTGCCAAGTCTAGTAGGTTTGGGGATCTCAAGGCAGCTCTCCACCAAAATGAGGCTGGAGCAGTTTCCTAGTTGGGGCCAATCAAATCGGTAGTTTTTACATCTATCCCCAGTGAGATTTTAACACTCAAACACCGCAAGTCCTGTCAGGGCTAGGATATGAGAATCAAAACCGGCCTTAAAGAGGAGCATAAGCAGCACAGCAAATCTCACCCTAAGAGGGATTTGGTAGGACACATATAGGCCCAGAGGTGGACTGGCCTTTCAGCTCTCAGTGAGAGGATAGAGACCCACTAGCCCACCAGAGATGGCCAGGAACGGCCAGGTTTCTACACCCAAGTAGCTGTGACTGCAGACGAAGAGTGGTTGCAACATTCTGATTCTATGTCACTGGCACAAAAGCAGCAGCTATTCACTTTAGAAATCCTGCTGCTTCCCCAGCCCCGGTGCTACCACACCGCAATGCTGTCCTTTTACAGTGCCCGAGTTAACTTGCAAAGTAATCTTTTGTAAACAGCGCGGGTCAGGATGCAATCGTGCTGGGATCCCCTTTGTGCTACGATGCTAATCACAGCATCCCGGCTTGCAGAGTCTGGATACTTTTGGGGAGAGCAGGTCACCATTCATGACTTAAACCTCAGGAGGCCTGAACCTGTCGTTGTTGAAGTCAATAGCAAAACTCCTATTAATTTCTAACCGAGAAGCAGGCCCTAAAAGGAATGATACCACACTTGGTCCCACAGAGACCCCTGTCCTTCAGATGCAGCTCGGAACACTGACCGGAAAGGCCCAGTCTGCTTGACTTTACAAGACACTAACTGCCTGGAACATTCCCTCATGCATGAGCTCCTCATGGACACCTGCAAAGCCACCTCATGATTTTCCTTCTAATCCCTCCATAAACTCCCCTTTGTTGATCCTGTTGTTCAGAATAGTCTCACCGTTAGCCTGTGCTCCCCCTCTACCCTGTCTGTTTGCTGCATCCACCTGCAAACTCTGTAGGGCAGAGACCATCTTTGGTACATGCCGGTACAGTACTTGGCATGATGGAACTTGGATTGGCAGAGCCCTGCAGATATCTACTTTATATCTGCGGACAATGTTTACGGATGGATGTGGATCCAAATTTTATGTCTAGAGCCCTGCAGATATCCACTTCATATCTGCAGATATCCACGGATCATGTTTGCGGATCGTGGATCAGATACGGATACAAAGTTTGTATCGGTAGGGCCCAGGCACTACAAAACAAACAAACAAACAACTAAAAACAACAGAACTGTCAGGAGTGTTGGCTTTTACTGACCTTGTCAATATACTGTGGGATCAGCTCAGCTACAAGTTTTGCTGTATTTTCACTTATCTCTGAAGGTTTGATTACTACAGCATTTCCTAAGAGACAAAAATCAGGACAATGTGTTGTCTGCTTGAGCCTGTAACACACTAAGGGGAGAAAAGATGACCGTAAAGGCCAACAAAACAAGGCATAAGGATTATACCATACCTGCTGCAATGGCCCCTATTAGAGGCTGCATAATCAGGACAAAGGGGTAGTTCCAAGCCCCAATGACCAGGACCACACCCAGCGGTTCATGGTGGATATAGACCTCATCTGTCAGCGTCATTATATTCTTGGGAACAGACTTAGGGGCGACCCATGTAGGAAGGTTGTCCACCATCAGGGCGATCTCCCCCAACACTCCCATAATCTCGAAACTGAATGCATTGCATTCACTCTGTAATAAATAACAGGGTGCTCTGTAAGTGAACACCAAAGCAATGGAGCCATATTGACACCCAGAGCCAGAAACAGGACGATGGCCAATACAATTAGCACAAGCTGAATCTGCATCGAGCGGACGGCGTGGTCTCCTTCGCAGCGGGCACACGCACGCATTGCACAACAGCGGGGAGGTGATTGGGACATTTCCCCTGGGGACACATTTATACAACAGACGTGACTCTGCTTCAGAGCCTATATACGGAGATATCCCATCTCCTAGAGCTGGAAGGGACCCCGAAAGGTCGAGTCCCGCCCCCTGCCTTCACTAGCAGGACCAAGGACTGATTTTGCCCCCAATCCCTAAGTGGGGATTGAACTCACCATCCTGGGTTTAGCAGGCCAATGCACCAACCCCTGAGCTACCCCTCCCTGCCCCCCATTCGGCCTCAGCCAAAGGCTCTCGCCCTGACAGGAGCAGGCGGCTGCAGGACTCGGCGGCTCCGGCCACCCCAGGCCTGAGGCGTCGCTCCCGAGCCCCGCGCAGCTCGGGGTACGCTCGGGCCCCGGGGCACAGGCCGGGCCCAGCCGGCCCGTGGGGACAAGGGGGGCACCGGGCACCTTGTGCAGATCCGCGCGCAGGGCGGCGGCGATCTCCGGCTCCTTCTCCTTCACCATCCGCTCCAGGGCCCGCAGCTGCCGGAGCCGGAACTCCAGCGGGCGGGACCGGCCCGAGCGGAACGCGGCCCCGGCTCGCGCCACGACCTGCTGCCGGGTGTCCATCGGGAGCTGCCGGAGAGAGCGGCGGTCACAGGCGGCTCCGCTCCACCCCCCCACCCCTGACACGGCCTCCTTCCGGTCACCTGACCGGGTAGGGGGCAGCCGCACTTCCGGTCCCCCCACCCACCTCAATGGAGAGCGTGGAGGGGCCCCTAGGGGAACCAGCCCCCCCCCCCCGAGAGAGAATGGAGGGGCCCCTGGGAGGGACTCAGGCTCCCCCCCCGAGAATGGAGGGGCCCCTGGGAGGGACTCAGGCTCCTCCCCCACGAGAGAGAATGGAGGGGCCCCTGGGAGGGACTCAGGCTCCCCCCCCG